ATATGGGGCGCCCCCCCTTCCCCTCACRGCGCGGGCTGGGGGGGCGGGGCGGGGACGCGGTCGCCCCTCAGTCACCGAGGCGCTCGCCCGAGGGGTTTCGACCCGGTTCAGGCGTCCCAAGGTCCCGTCCGGTGCCGTGAGGCGCCGGGACCGGGTCGAAACGCCTCGGGCGGGCGCGATCGCCGCGTTCACGGTTGTCCCTCATTGTCCTTGCGGGGCCCGCGGCGACCTTGTTGTGTGAGGGGAAATTGGCGGGAACTTTTCGAACTCGACGCGATGACGTAGAGGCGGCGGCCGCGGGGCATGGTGGGAGTTGTAGTCCGTGAGGCGGCGGGGATGGGGGGAGGCCGCCATTGCTGCGGGTTGTGTTGGGGGGCCCTGTGAGCCTCCCCCGGCTCCCCTCAGGGTTCAGGTGGGATCACACGGGAGGGTTTTGCCTTCTCACCTCAGTGTCTCGCTTTCCTTGCAGGCTCCAGCTGAAGGCGAGGCAAAGGAGGAGGTAGGAGTGGTTTCTGGTCACCACTGCAAGAATTCCTGTGGGGCTCTGCAGAAATCTGGAAGCCCACGCAGCTCATGCGGGGTGTTCAGCCCCTGGGGGTGGCCCTGTGCCTGGTTTTGGGGTGCTCGGGTCCATCACTGTCCCTTGAGGTGACAGGTGACCCCCTGAAGTGGTGCTGGGGGTCCAGCAGCTCTGCCAGGCTGAGGGCAGGGACCATCATTTCCAATTGTCACAAGTCCCTTTTAGCCTCACCACTCCTGGAAGTTAAGAAACATCATCCTTTACCACATCAGGGGGGTAGAGTGGCAGCAGAGAACTGCYGAGCAGAGCTGCACTTTCAGGAAGTCATAGAATATCCTGAGCTGGRCCCACAAGGATCATGGAATCACAGCATGGTTTGGGTTGGAAGGAATCCTAAAGCTCATCCAGTTCCACCCCCTGCCATAGACAGGGATAATTTGCACTATCTCAGGTTGCTCCAAGCCCTGTCCAACCTGGCCTTGGACACTTCCAGGGATGGGGAATCATCAAGGCCCTCACCACAATGCCCAAAATTTTATAAGTCCTAGGATTGCTGTGAGGCTTCATCATGCCATGTTATGTTGAGTAGCAACTCTGAGAAAGCTGTGCTTTATGTGCTCATGGAACTTCACTGACATATCTTTCCTTCTGCAGCCAAAGAGAAGGTCAGCCAGACTATCTGCTGTGAGTATCTCTATTTATCCTTTAATATTATGTCATTTGGGATGGGGACAGTTAMAGACAAACTGTTGGGGTTTTTCCCCTAGAATTGGGAAAGGCATGCTTAGAGTATTGCAATATTTAAAAGTTCCATTCCTTGAACATCCCCACATCCCAGGCTTCTGACACGAGATGCCAGTGTCTGCATTAGTGCACATTCCATCTAGGCACAAGTATCCAGAGTTAAGGAATTTTGATTTCAGGATGAATTTGTTCCCTGTAGGACTTCTCTATACAAATGGCTCTATAGATCACCCACTCTCTCCTTAGCCTGGTAATTTGCCTATTGATTTTTGCTGGGCCAGCTGTTGGGTAAATAGTTTTTAAAAGTTACCAACATATTGCTCATAAATATAAAAACACAAATATGTGTTTCTGGTATTCACCTGACTTGTGTCCTGTATTTCTTACAGAAACCTGCTCCACCCAAACCGGAGCCAAAGCCCAAAAAGGCAGCACCTAAGGTAAGTATCCTGTACTGAAGTTATATTTGCCTTTTGAAGTGTAAAAACCCCACAATTAACCACTTTGCTTTTTCATAATTATCCTGAAAACTTTAAGATGCAATTATGTGAGCTAAAAGAATAGGAAAGACACAATTTTATCCAATTTCTGCTGAAGGAATGTGGTAAACTGAGCAGATTTGAAATCCCTTGTGGTGAGGCTTTGCTGCTGCTTTACAATGTCATTCTGAAGTTTCATATAATGCATTGTTGGGAAAATGATGCTTGGAATAGAGATCAGAGACTCAATTAGAGGAGGCATTGAAAATCATGCTTTTAATTACAGTTTCTTACTATATTTCCATTCTGAGGCCYTCTCTGCAGTTAGTTATCAGTTTATCACATTTTAATCACTCAGAGTTCTAGAGACCCCTTTCCTTTGGCTGGATGTTTTTGGAAATGTGAAAAACACTGGCATGTCTGACAGTATAGTTAAAAAAGWAACTATTTAAAGCTCTTTTTTGCTTTGCAGCAACAGTTTGGAATTTCAAAGGGGGCAGTTCTGCAATCCATGAGGGATTTCTTTCCCTCCCCTTCCTRTCAGCCTTCCCAGCAGTCAGTTTGCAGTGCTTTTTTGTTAGATTTTTCTGTAAATATTTAGGATTTTGCAGCTTAAAAAAAAAACAAGATCAAAAACCCAATAAACACCCCAGCAACAAAACTTCAGGGAYTGTTTTTAACCTGTTCTCATCAACCATTTTTCTTGTGGTTTGGGTTGATGAGGTGGGCAAAGCACAGCAGTGAGAGATGCTTTGGTTGCAGAGGGGAATGATGGGTTGGGAACCAGGAGCTTTTTACTTTCCATTGAAAAGGAATTTGCAATTGCCTGTGGCACAGCAGACTTTGTAGTGAGGGAACTGTTTCCCTCCCCATCTTCTGTGAGGAGCAGCAGAGATGCCATGGAAAAGAGAGGGAACCCCACTGTCAGTCTGGGCTCAGCTCTGATCTGAGTGCTGCRCAGAGCAAGGTTTTCCTGTTCCATCTTGGCGGTGCAGCTGGAATTSCAGACCACATTCCTGGCTGGATGGAGCACTGGACACTGGATTGCACTCCCCTCTAGTGGCCGGTGCCTCTGGGAGAGCAGAGCCAGCTSCTGGGGGTACACAGGGCAGGGCAGCTGTGGGTCACCCATCTTGCTGTATTTGGGGTTTTTCTAAGTTTGCTTTTTTACAGAAACATCTCAGGGTTTACACACTAAAGCTGCGTTAACTGAATGTTAAAAGTTGTAGGAAGAGGGGTGCAAGGGTTAAGAGCTGTAAGGGACTGGTAAAGCTTAGTTTGGGCCCTCACTGCACAACTGTGTGGTGTGGTGTCCTTTGGGAACATGCAGGGATCCCCTGGGAGCTGTGCCTTGGGAATTGCTCCCAGTTGGGCTTGGAAAGTGTTGGTTCTCCTGCTCCTGTTTGAAGCCAGGACACTTGAACTGTGTTTTTGGCTCTCCAGAGCTCCTCAAGCTGCATCAACACCTGTGCAAAAGGTGATGGAGTAAGAATTGTTGAGGCCTTTTTAGTATCTGTCTGCCCCAAGTGCTTTTCTTGTCAACCTTCAGGATCTTGGAATGGTTTCCTGCGTGTCACAATAGATTTCACCTGTTAAACTTTGCTATGGTGAAAAACATGGAACTAGAAAAAGAATTCTGTCCCTTATAAAACACAGGACCTTAGTACTGAACTGCTTTTGCCATCTCAAGAGAAAAATTACTGAGGAAAATGAAGAGAGTGCTGTAGCTGAGGACCCTGTTGTGTCCTGTGGGACCCTTTCTCTCCAGTCAGTCCAGCCRTAGAAGTCAGTCTCCCTGGATTCTCTTACAGTGATTGCTGGAGAGGCTTYCCCAGCACAGAGTGGGCTACAGAGAACTGGTTTTAGCCCTGTTAATATTTTGTTGTGTGGTTTAAATGGGATAAGGGAACAGATAAGCAGTGCTGTAGTACARTTGTAATTCTAAATCTCACTGCCAAATAGCACCAGGATACTGGGTGTTCCCAATGCAGGGAACTCCTGACACCACACTGGGAGTCTTCCATGTGGGGGAAAATCCCTCAGACTGAGGAGTGAGAGGCTGGAAAGGAAAGAGATCCTCACTCATTGAATGCACTGGCCCCATCTTAAATTTTCTATGTTACTGCAGGATTTGCTGTTCATTTTGGTGACTTCTGAATCATTGAAGAATCAGGTGGTTTTACCCCTTACACACCGTGTTCACCCTTAGAAGCTCATTTTTAAGGTGCATTAATTTTGTGCATTAATAACTGAGGGATTGAAGTAAGAACRTAAACTTTTACCTGTAGTCACTGAGACAAATCTTTTGAGGAGATGAATGTRTATCCAGTAGTTTTCTGTTTATCCTCACTCAGCTGTGAGTAGACCTTGCAGGCTTTCTGGTTCCTCTGTGAGAAGTAGGTTAATCAAGCAAGGAGCTGAGCCAGTGCTGTTACTTATTGGCAGCAAGAGGCACATCCTTGGAAGTGAAACTAATGAGGGTCAGGTATTTGGGTCAGGATCTGACCTTGCCTATAGAAAATGATTGCTACAGAAGCATCGAGTTTTGGAGTTTGTTTTGATTTAGCCTGATTCATATATAAGAAACTGCTCTTAAAAAAATGAATACTATGCTCTTGTGGTTATCAAAGTGATGCTGCTGAGTCCCCACTTTTTCTGGCACAGAAGTGGTTTATTACCACAAGGAATATTTCTGGCAGAGAATGGGGAAAGTCCTTTGCCTACAGCTTTGTTACAGTTTTCTAAATGGGCATTAACAGCACATCTGAAGTATTCTGGTGTTTYCACATGTTGGTTTTGTTCTGTGGCTGCCTTTCAGCAGCAAGGCAGAAATACAGGCCAGTTCAACATTTTTTAGCTAATTTAATTCAATGCCTATTTAAAATAGGAATTCTTTTAACCCCAGACATGGCTGCTTTTATAKTCTGCACTTCCCTGTAGCACATTCAGGGCAGACAGAAGGCAGATACTTCTCCTGTGAAACTTTGATCTCATCTTTGTCAGTAGGAAGTTTGGGGGGTGAAAGGAGGTTGTGCAGAAGGTTTGGGAGTTGAGAACATGCTGATGTACAAGGTGAAAATTAGGAGTTAATATATTACTGTCTATTTTCTTAACAGAAAGAAAAAGCAGCAAATGATAAAAAGGAGGACAAAAAAGCAGCAACAAAAGGGAAGAAAGGAGCCAAAGGCAAAGAGGAAACTAAACAAGAGGATGCTAAAGAAGAAAACCACTCTGAAAATGGAGATACCAAAACTAATGAGGTACTTTRGCTCCACTAAAGCTGGGAACAGAGCCAGATGTGCTGGAAGTACAGCTGCAGGAGCTCTGCTTGGCTCCAGAGGGTGGGAGGGTCACTGCCACACTGTGAGGACAGAGCAACTGTGGTACCTTCCCAGGGAGAGCCTGCAGGAATGGCTTTCTCCTTCCAGCTCCTTCMTGCTCTGTGCTGGAGCCCTTCCACAGGTGCTCTGTGCTGTTCCAGGGTCCCTCTCAGGGCTTGCTCACAGCAATGCCCAAGATTTGGGGAATGATGGAGCCCAGGGAGATCATCACCCTCCAGCCCCGTGGACTGCTGGGTTCCTCTGCTGCTCAGCATGGGTTGGTGCTGGGCCAGAAATCTGGTTTTGWGGTCTACTGAATTCTTTGAACAATTCTTTGCCTCAACAATTCAGCAAGAGATTTGCAAAGTAAACTTGGTCTTGTCTCTTACCTGCACCACTTCTTGCAGGTCCTTGCTGTGGCAGCTCCTTATCTCAACTGCCTTTTGCTAGGTCCAGCTGTGAGCTCCATCAGCTYCTGATGGATTGTCCCAGCAGATTCCTTGCTGATGGTGAAGCAGTGTTTTCTCAGGGCTCTCTGTGCCCATGGCACAGCCCAGCCCGTTGTGTTCTGGCACTGGTGTCTCTTCATGGGTTGAGTGTCACCATCCAGCCAAGGGGTCCTTTATTCTTTCATTTCTAAAACGAGATCAGGAGCTGCTTAGTTAAAGCAATACRTGGCTAATGTGCTTCAGAGGGCTTTGAGGGAGATTTGCAGGTTTGATGTGTTGACTTGGAAAGTAAAAGCACATTTTTATAGAGAAAGGTGAGAACTTGATTCCCCAAAGTTCAGACACAGCAGGATCATGGTTGATGTGTAACTGTTCCACTTCCCCATGAGGGCTTGAACTTCCCCTAACATATGAGTGATCCCAATCTAAAATACATTCCAAACCTCTGCTTCTGTGCAGGTACTTATTCCAAAACTGCCTCACTAATTAATACTCTGTGTTTTCATTTTAAGAATTATCAGCCCATTGCTGTGTCAATATTTTCTGTGCATTCTTGTCTATCCTCACAAAGCCTTGTCCATGTCTGTGTTAACAAACTGGTCTCTTTGATGCTGGTTGGATTGGAATCCAATTAGAATTACCAATAATATTTGTTTTCTTCCCAACCCSTTTTCCAGGCACCAGCTGCTGAAGCATCTGATGATAAGGAAGCCAAGTCCGAGTAATGAACCCTGCCCTATATCTCCATCATTTGGTATCCGTACCTCCATGCTGTATTGTTAACAGAGAGGAATATTTTTATCAACTATTTTATAAATGCAGGTTTTTTTAGCATGAATTTAATTATGGAACATCTTCATCTCGGTTACTTGGGAATTAAATCCCTAACAAACAAAACAAAACAACAAAAAAAAAGTCATTGTTTTTAAATTTTGTGATTGTAATAGTTTGTATGGTACATGGAAAGAATAAGTGGTGGTAGCTTTTGACTTCTGTCAGTGTGTCCCTTTTTGTGTAAGTCATGCTTACAGACTTCAGATTTTAATTTTTCCCTTGTATGTGTTGTATGGTTTCTTAAAGTGGGGAGGTCTCAAAACAAATAACCGTGTGAAACATTCCAGTGGTTCTGTGGGTTGCTTTTATAAAGAAGGTGAGCTATTTTCATGAAAAAACCTAAGAGCTGGAAATCTGTTGTTTCCCAAATGTAATTTTATTTTGTCAGTTTTGAAAAAAAAAAAGAAAAATAAATAAATAAAAGTGTAATCCTGTTTTTAAATGAAATACAAACATTTCTTTTCAAAAAGGGCAGGTTGGTTGTATGTACCCACTGTTACGAATTTTGCTGGATTTATCTTAATAAAAAAGACTCCTCAAAAGCTGATTGTGGTTTGTTGCTTGTGCTGCTGGAAATGTCCCAAATTCCAGGAGAGTTGCAGTGGGACAGGGACAGCCCATGGGGTTGGAGAGCTTTGGGCTTTTGGCTGGGGCTTGAGCCCCTCTCTGCCTCAGTTGTGTGACCTCCCATTAATCCAGGCCTCCTCATTTTGGGACATAACACCTGGACCAGACCAGTGAACTGGGTTTAAGTCCCAGTTTTGTTGTTGCAGCTTTTTTATGCAACTTTGTCACAGACACTTACAATTCTGCTTAAACCTGCTTTTATCAAAAACCTTTTAYGACCAACTACAGGATATATTTAATAAGAAGAAAAATGTTTGCAATGCAGAAACCTTCCCTCTCCCATTAAATTGTTCCACAGCCYGGCAATGGGAAATTCCAAGAGCTTGAACATTTTATTTTGTATCCAAACCCCAAACAGCATCTCAGTGAGTCTGTTGGATTCAGTGGGGCTCAGGATCAGTCCCCCAGGGCTACTAGAGGATGTTTCGGTATGGATTTCATTTTCCAGGCCTGAGGCACTGGGGATTTTTATTCCTGCTGCTCCACCTGTTGTTCTGTACAAATGCTCGGGGTTAACTGGGCTCCAGGTTCCTCAGCAGTGAAGGTGAGGGGCCTTTTCCTTGGCAGTGTATTCCCTTAACTCAGCAGAGATTTTGGGGCATGCTCTGGTCTCTCCTCCAGTGAGAACTGGAGCAGTAACTGCCTAGTGGAAGTGATGAGATGTGGGTATAACCAGGGAGACTGAACATCCCAGCCTGAATATGAGCCAACAATAGTTCAAATGTCATCCTGACTTTTACATTTAAAAATGATTCACTCAATTTCCTCACTACAAAGACAGGCTGGGAGAGCTGGGGATGTTCAGCCTGGAAAACAAAGCTCTGGGAGACCTTGGAGCTCCTTCCTGTGCTTAAAGGGGCTTAGAAAAAAGGAGGGAGAGGGACCTTTTACACAGGCTCATAATTACAGGACAAGGGGAAATGGTTTTAGACAGAGGGCAGGGTTAGATGGGATATTGGGAAGAAATTCTTCCCCGTGAGGCCCCAGGGGAGACCCTGGCACAGGGTACTCAGAGAAGCCCTGGATCCCTGGAAGTGTCCARGGCCAGGTTGGATAGGGCTTGGAGCACCCTGATGTAGTGGAAGGTGTCCCTGCCCATGACAGGGAGTCAAACAGGGAGCTTTAATGTCCCTTCCAACCCAAATATTTCCATGATTCTATGATTCTATGAGTTTAGCCAGCAGTCAGTGAGAAATTCCAAAGGACCTGTACTGCTCCAGGGAGAAAATGCATATTGGTATGAAATGTTTTAGATTTGTGTATTTCCCACCCCAGTGGTTTCTCTAAAAGGGCTTCAAACAGGAATCAAATTCTGCAGGAAGGTGAAGCCCCTTCTCCCAGGCCTGGTGCTGTGGGACCATCTCTCTTTGGCTCCAGCCTCCAGTCTCTGAGCATCTCAAGCACTGCTATTTAAGCAGCAGATACTGAATGTAGTTGGTGTTTTCTTTTTAGCACAGGATCCATCCATATGCCAAGGTACAAACACCCTTTGGAACGAGGTCACTCTGATCCCAAGCTGTGTCTCTCCATGTGAGTACAGAGGATGTTACACAGAATATACAACTGAGKGTTTGGTTTTGGTTATTTCTTTTCCGAGTGCCAGGGTGGGAGTTGTTCTTAATTCTATAACTATTGTTCTAATCAAATTCCTCTTTCAAATAAGTACASAAAATTGCCCAAGAACTTTTTGCTTAAATTCATAACTTTTCGGAGCCATGGGGTATTGAGAGAGTTGCACAACTGAAAGGATTGTCTGGTTTATGCCAAACCCTCCTCCACGGCTGTCCTGATGTCTAGACACTGAATCCAAGGCCAGCTCAATGGCAGCTCCCAAGCTTGGCTTATTTGGTCTGAAAATGAGAGGTTTCAAACTGTTGAGTAAACCTACTTTCAGGTTTATTTGGAATTTGTGGACAAACTGCCTTCCCCGAGGTCCTTGGCTGGCTGTTCCCTGTGCTATGAATGTTACCAGGTCTGATGCTGGTAAGGAAAGATCCACAGAATTGCTGTGGATTTGATTATCTTTATTCATCGTAACAAATGGGGACCTTCAAGATGCAACAGTGAAGAGATTCATGAGTCTGAAGATAGTGATGGTTCTGAGGTGGT